CAGTTCAGTTAGAAAAGTGAGAATAATTCGCATTTTACGTTGAAAAGATTTTCCTCATTTTCTCACAAAATATTTTATTCATAAAGAATGATCGCTTCATTATTCAATCCTCAAAGTATTCGGTGCAGGTGAAAATGCTCATCTCCCTAATCTTTTTGAAAAATAGAAAATGAATACGCAGTTAAACACAAATCCTGGCAGTTCTGTCGTCAGTGTTCATTTATCCTGTGTTAAAAGGAAGGATAATAAAAAGAAGAAAAAAATAAAAAAAACTATAAAAATGGCGCTGAACAAGATAAGCCCGAGATACGACGTATAGTTCCTTTTCAAGTTGGACAAGTTGCAACAAAAGTAAAGAAGATGCTAGATGAAGCATGTGGAGATGATTCAGCTGGAAGATGTACCGGGAAATGTTTTGCAATGAAGAAAGACGAATTTGATTTGGAAGACAAATCAAGTAACAGACGAATATCTAATTGATGATTTGCGCTTTCTTTTAGATGACGGTTTCATCATCATCATCATCATCATCACCATCATCATCATCATCATCATCATCATCATCATCATCATCATCATCATCATCATCATCATCATCCCCTTGACTTCTGTAATCGTAGGGCAGATCCGAATGCGGAAGCCACACTAACTCTTTTCCACAACGGTCTATCAACGGCGGCCATCAGCATTTCTCGTACACCCATACCTATCCATTTTTTTCACATTGTCCAACCAGTTTTTGTGATGGCGTCTTCTCCTGTGTCCACTTTCAACGGTGGATCGCATAATGGTTCTTGCATAGGCTGTCGTGCCTTGTAATGTGTCCAAACCACGCCCTTTTGCTCCATTTGAGATTCCAAGAAGAAGAAGGCTGGGTTCCAGAAAACATTCAATCTGACAATAAAGATGTGAACAAACTCATTATTTTTAACGTTTCACTCAACGCTAAAGTTGGTTTAAATGCCAACCACTTAACTATCGTAAGACGTTGACAAATGTAAGAAACCCGATGGATTGAAAAAAGCGTAACATTCAGGTTTATGGCTCTAAATTTCATTATTAATCATTAAGTTGAAAATCATGAACAGAAAAATTCTAACGTTGGAAAGCAAGACTTATTGTTCTATATTTGGCGAGATTTATAAAGGTATTCTGTATTTGGTGGAAAACTAGCGAGACTTATAGAAGTCTTTGCAGTTTCCCGCCATATGTGGTCAGCTACGCCTGATTTTTCTATTTCTTCTCGGGTTACGGCTTTAACTTAAAGAGGCGGCTTATTTCTTCTTTATATTTTTTTTACCACCGCTGTACGGAATGGCGTGCATACAGTCCTTAGTCATGTTCCCCGCTGTGGAGTGGTGGGGGTCTTACTCGGAAGAGGTGTCTGCGAAATGTCGAAACACTGCCGAAAGTCGTCCTGATTTTAAACTTCATATTAATAATGTCTTCATATGTACAAAATAATGTCTGTTAGCTAGGTTGGAGTCTTCCGGTTGTAACAAAAGAACAAAGCTACGTGAGCTAATTTCAAATACAACAGATATTAACGACATTAATAAAAAAAAAAACACAAAATGTTGTCTGAAAACAACGTAACACATGAACTCGAAAGGCGTTATCATTGAAAAACATTCTACTTTGTCTCATTGCCCCAGATATATATAGTGTTAAATCATATTTTTTTTTCTTCACCGGTAGCAGGACTAACAGTTTCATATACAACGTAAACTTCAGGTGCTGAGTAGAGAGTAGCCGTTACATCATTTACCTTTTAATAAAAAAATATATGGTTATGTAGCTGTCAGTCTCTTCAGGTGACTGTAATTTCGAACTGAACCCTTTATTTCGTCCACAGAGGTAGATTGTTATAGTTCCCCGTGCCGTGCCTCTTCCAGATGCCTTAATGATCTCCCTTTAACTCAACTCTCCTAGTGTTTGTTCACCATTGCAGTAGTCAGGTATTGAACTCACAACACTTTGGGTCAACCAACGACTTTATCCATGTGTCCTTGAGAATAGCAGTGGATGAATTTTGGGGGACTTATAAGCCTAATGTCTCAGTAACCATTTTGCAATTTTGTTGTTGTTATTGTTTATCTCTATCTCTCTGCATCATGGGTTCCTATATTGAATTCATTTCATATATGCTGATTCTTTAAGTTTTCGTATTTTCTAGTGATGTCCTTTAACTATTATTTCAATCTCATCCCACAGGTGTCGGTGACCGACCTTATCCCTCCATATGTGGTCAGCTACGCCTGATTTTTCTATTTCTCCTCGGGTTACGGCTTTACGATGTTCTTCCTGTCTTAAGTTAAGGTGGCGGCTTATTCCTTCTTTATATTTTTTTTTTTACCACCGCCGCACGTAATGGCGTGCATACAGTCCTTAGTCATGTTCTCCGCTGTGGAGTGGTGGGGGCGGGGGTCTTACTCGGAATAGGTGTCTGCGAAGTGTCCAACCACAGTCAAAAGTCGTCCTAATTTTATATGGACCACAGACCTTTTGTAATTTCACCGATACTCCCTTCACGTAGTTTCGGCAGACCAAAGCTGTTTTATGAGTGTTTTTTTATCATCTTGAACAATTCTATCTCAGTTTCTAGGAGATTATGCATGCATGCTCACAACGAAAATAAATATTAGTCAAGTACAAAGTCTCCATTTTTTTAACAACCGTCTCCTATCGTTCTACAGCTTGTTGATGGCATTTTAGGAAAAAACTTCATGTTTTTTGCTGGATTAAAATTGTGAGTTAGTTTTCGACTGACTATGTAGAATTACGTTTTGTGTCATTTAAATTGTTCTTCAGAAATCGGAACAAATGAAAACCAAAAGCAGCCTTTTCAGGATAATAATGTTGCGGGGGGTCCTATTTAAGCTTCTGCAAGAATGTCTTTTGCAAGACTAGGTCGTGAGATATTGTGGTGGACAATGACACCTCTTTGGTTGTCTTTCTTGAACCCTAGTCTTTTCAAATGGCAAAAGGTAGTTGAGATATCAACTTCAAACACTTAATAATCTCCTCCATCGATATCTACTGTGTATTTTACCCGATGGCAAGCAGATTGTCTTCATCGACGTCGGAAAGTCACTCGCCGTGTGTTTGATCGTTTAAGTTAAAATCACCCTGACTAAATCTGCCAAACCACTTTTTCACCGTCCAAATAAACCTTCTGAATGCTTTTTTTGACTCAGTTCCGTTGCTTACGTCTTTTCGAAATTCATAGAGCATAATCTGGTGAAAGCGGAACTTTTCATCGTCAATCTTTAAAGCAATTACTTATGGACAAATCTCCAAAATTTCAACTAAGTCTGACTCGCAACCAACGCCATAATAAATGCCAATTTCAGTTTTATATTAATTTTGAAAATCGCACGCCAGTTTTAATGATTCCAGTAAGAAATGCATTCAAAATAATTAGAACTTTATTTTGGGAAATGATTAATTCAAAAGTTTTTGAAATTCTATGTTCGTCTGCTTCCATAGGTTGTGTAGACGCCATTTTTCAATGTTAGTATGTGTGTATCACATTTGTTTTTTTTTTTTAGCATAATGTCTTTCACTTTTAGCATAATGTCTTTCACTTTTTGCATCTGCGTGATTGTTTAAGGTTTGAAATGACAGCATACTTTAAAAGTGTATTAAAATCGTTTTATTTGTATATTTGAATTGTTTCAGTAATATGCTGAATGCTAGGAGTGATTGTGTCATGCGATGCCATATCATTTACCAACATTTTGATCTTTAAGCATTAGTTTTACGAATAAATGCAATGTGTAGAACTGGTTATTAACAAAAGACGCACCCTAAATGTAAATTACGAACTGGAGATGCCAAAATCAAACAAGTACAAATAGTAAATAAAATTTCAAAATTTAGGAGGAGACTTTAGAACTATGGATTTGAAGTAGACTTTAGAAGGAACCGGAAAGCCAATCCTAAACAAGAAAGAAGGGATAAACCACAATCCTTGGTCAAAATGCCAGGGACGAGTGTGAACCGGGCAATAGATGAACCTATTTATTTCTACCGCGAAAAAAATAAATAGTAAATAAACTTTCAGTGTTTAGGCGGAGATTTTAGAAGTATCGATTTGAAGTAGACTTTAGAAGGGACCGGAAACCCAATCCTAAACAGGACACATGGACTAAACTTTCTTTTGAAATGGACGTTCGGATTTTTTGTATCCAACATTCTCAGACATACACGAGGATTGATATCACATGGCAAATCAGCAGTCTTTTTTTTGTCTAAATAAATTATCCTGTTACTTAATACTTCTTTAGATTTTGGAAGGCATTTTTTTTTAATCCAATGTGCATTCGGAAACCCAATCCTGAACATGAAACAAGGGTTCAAACTTTTCTCATGTTCAAAAACACTAGGTGGGGGGGTGAACTGGACGACAGGCGAACCTATCTACTCCGTCAATAACAGAATTGAATGGAGATTGAACTCTCGACCTCATGTTCTCAGAGTGACTCTATTCCATGCTATACTGTCACTTGTTACTGGTTACTTCGTGAGCTGGTTTCCATCAATTAGCCGCCATTTTGATGTAATTTAAAGCATCATGTTCAAAAGAACTGGATTTCATGACGATGTCAATAAAAAAAAAAGTATTTGATGAAAGAATCACTTTGATGGGTTCAACAATTCCAAAAGGGACTTGCGTGCGGTATTTTTTTTCTTTTCAGGAATCGGTTTTTATTCTTTCTTGTTTTTCTTTTTCTATGTCTTGTTTCGATATTTTTTTTTTTCCTCAGCTTTTAAGAAATCCGATTTTTTTCCACAGAGTTTCAAGACTATTTTCGCGTATGTGTCTGCATGAAAAAAAAACCAAAATTTTTTTCCTCCTTTTCAAATCTGATGTATTTTCGTTGAAGAAAAACAATAATTTTCGTTTACTGGTGCGAATAGTGTTCTTTACTTTTTTTCGCTTAACAAAATTTTGTTATTTTCTAAAAAAAAAAAAAAAAATGGTTCTTTTACATCGTATGACATATTTTAGTTTTCTAGAGTTGCTAATTCTTCTATCTATAAATCACAGGTTGTTCACATCTATCAAGATATCACAGCTTGTTAATCTCTCTCTCTCTCCCTCTCTCTCTCTCTCTCTCTCTATCTATCTATCTATTCCAGTTTGTTCATTATCTATCTATCTATCTATCTATCTATCTATCTATTCCAGATTGTTCATTATCTATCTATCTATCTATCTATTTGTCACAGTTTGTTCACACCTATCACATTTTATTATACATATTTATTACGTAATATCGCTTATTGTTCTATGTAATACATATATCTACTAGCAGTGTTAGTCTCGTATACTAGATATCAATAGACAATAATAAATTCAGATTTAATGTGTGCATATATATATATATATATATATATATATATATATAAAAGAAAGAGGTTGTAGTGGTTCCAACGAGAGAAAAGTATGTATATTAAAAAGAAGAGAAGAGAGGTACCGCAAACATTTTTGGTTGCAATGTGGATTTTTTTTTAGAAAAAATATTATGCTTTGTTTTACATAATTTTACGACACGTGTTTCTGGTCTCGCGACCGTCTTCAGGTAAAAGCGGAGATTTCCACATATTATTAAAATAATTAATTTTTTGCTTATGTTCAATGTTAAATATTCTCGATATGAGACATTCTCAGTTTTGTGTTAGTAATCCGAATTTCTTTCTTGAATATATATATGTGTCTATATACATATATATATATATATATATATATATATATATATATATATATATATATATAATTGTCGGATTTGTCCATTTTATATTGAGTTCTCTCAGTCAAAATGTGTTTATCTAAAATAAATACGCATAAATTTATCTTCATGCCGTATATATGTGCACCAACGAGAATCCTCGACTGACGCCAGTTCAGTTGGGTTTCAATCCTAGCTAGAGGCAACCGGACGTCTAGCCACACTGATGAGCTGTGATAACACTATATATGCTCCTGAAAAATTTGGGCTTTGGGGAGGAAGTGTAGGTTTGGGGAGGATGTGTAGGTTTGTAAACAGTGACTTTTACGGATAATAATGCAAAACTCTTCGGTGGATCGAAACTGTGTTTACCTAAAAATAAATACTCTTAAATTCACCTTCACCCATGCCGTGCACCAACGGCTTAGTCATAGAATCCCCCGACTGACGCCAATTCAGTCGGGTTTCGATTATGTCTAGCCACATTGATGAGCTGCGAGACAGTCTGACAATATATATGTGTGTCTGTGGATTATTTTTAATTTATTTTGTTCAAAACGTTATTTTTTATGGAAATCTTGTTAGAAAAAAAATCGACCTCCGGCAGGATTCTAACCTGCATCTCCTATGGACAACAGTCATATTTTTATTTCATGTGCCTAACCGTTCGGCCACGTATGACTTCCGGTCAGGCAAAGCCTAATTTTTTTTTTTTTTTTTTTTGACAAGCTTTCTCGAATATTCAGTCCGGTACATGTAGGTGGATAATAAATATTAAATATGACAGCCTATCAAAAATAATGTTTAAACAAAATAAATATATATATATCGGATTTAATCCATTTTATATATCCCACCTTGGTTCATTGATTAGTGGTGGGGGTGGCTTCTTGACAATATTGGCCTGGTTGGGGTGACCTAAACGTGCGACATTTTTAGAAAATGCTTTAAAACGATACCAATGTTGTTTTTTTTTTTAAATCAATTCACCCAAAACAAGGAAATGATGACGCCACTACGCAAGTGCGTACTGGGAATGAAAAAGAATGAAAAAAGACTTTAAAACAAACCGTAAACCTTAAACAGTGCACTAGGGATAAACATCTACTCTTTCTCGAAGGACCGGGAGAGGATTGTGAACTGAATGATAGTTGTACCGATCTACTCCTATTGAGGAACAAAATTAAAATAAATAAATAGCAAATAAAAATTCAGACTTCCGGGCGGAGACGTTAGAAGTATAAAGTTGAAGTAAACTTTAGAATGAACCGGAAACACACTCCTAAACAATAAAAAAGGGATAATCCTCTACGCTCGTTAAAAAAAAGACCGGGGAAAAGCGTGTACTGGACGACAGGCAAACCTATCTATTCCTGTTGAAGAAAACAAAAAAAAAAAAACAAATTTGTTGTGGATTCCGAGATGAAATTCGGTCTCCAATGAATGACAAACGCAGGAATGAAATATAACTAATAAATGTATTTACACAATAATACAATTGGTAATACGGTTAGTAGATCCAGAAATGCGGTTAGTAGCAATAATAATATATATACACAGTCTGGTAAATCCAGTCTCGACGTAGGACTTCCTTAGAGTCTACGTGCTTGTAACTGTGACTTCTACAAGCGGTTACCTCACACAATTACTCTACCTCCAACTCAATCACAATCTCTCTACTCTGACTGACTCTGGGTATTTAACGACAGCAGTCCAAGTACACACTGGTCGAGTCCACTTGTATGAAAAATGGGTGGACCCCATAACAAAACTAAACCAGCAGTAAATAAAAATTAGAATTTTTAATCGTATACGTGAGAAGGGATTTAGTAGACATTGAGACAGAATTCACTCCTAAACGGAAAACAAGGGATAAACTCCTACTCCCGTGAAAAAGAGAGGGGAACCGATCTACTCCTTCAATAAGAGCATCATTTCTATAAGAATAGATGTAAACTTTTTTTTTATTTTAGAAATAACGTATTACATTTATATCTTAAACCGACAATTTTTATAAAACTTTACAGGCTACCCACTACACTTTAATGTAAGAAATAGTGTAATTATAAATAAAAAAAGAAATATTTTCATGTTTAACACATGCGAACTATCCTCGTTGAATGGTGACTCGCGAGACAACATTAGCAAAAGCAAAATCCTTCATCACATGTTTTTGCAATATTTTTGAGAACGTGAAATGACATACAGACATATTTATTTTGATTTGAAGGCACAAAAAAATGATGTTTGTCTGAAGATGAAAATAACAGGTTAATTATAATATATGAATTATACATTCAAAATAAGTGCATTAAGTCAATAAATCTACAATTAATTGGAATATTTTTGTCACACACACACACACACACACACATATATATATATATATATATATATATATATATATATATATATATATATATATATATATATTTGGGTGTTCTAATAACTTGGACCGATCTTAATGTGAATTAAATTTAAGCGTCTAATGATTTTTTTTCTTTTGGATTTGGGGGATATTTGGACGATATTATTTTTCACACATAATGGCCATGGTTTAAATAACATGAAAAATAAATAAATTTACACAAATAACACTGATTTATTTACTGCTGACTTTGATCCGTCTTAATCAAACACTCTTTATATAATCCGTTTTAATGAAACACCCTTATATAATAATGATTAACCTTTGCCATTTTATTTACGGAAGCCACGGTCTATATATCAGTGATATTGAGAATATATATATATATATATATATATAATTTTTATATATATCATTTATATATTGAGTATATAATATATAAATGATATATATATAAACTATATAAATATATACATTTTTGTATCAATGATTCATGTAATGTAAATTGAACTGCACCACGTACTTGATATTAAAATAACTGATCCGATGTGCAACTTTCGGATAATAACTGTGACATTCCTGTATTTATTGAACAATTTAGTTCATGCCACATTGACTGAAAAACCTACCAGTACAAAAAGAATTCTCCTATTACCATATTAGTACAAAAAAATTTTCAATCTTAAAATTTAAAAATTCAACCTCAGCGCTGCGACCGCACGCTCCAAAAAATTTCTTACAATTAACAATAACACATTTCTAAAAACATATTTCGGATTACATCTATATTATTACCGAGAAGTAAAAAACAAAAACAAATCTATTTCCATACCTGATGATGTCTGTATGAACAGATGAAAGCTTGTAAAAAAAAAAAAAAAAAACCTTATGCAACTGGAATTTATAAACAGGGATCATAACATTCATCTACAGGTTCGGGGTTAATGTACTTTATTAAATTTGTTTGCGAAGATGTATTCTCGCCATTTATATCATTAACTTCTATATCTGTTTTTTGTATGAATGATTCATGTAATATAAATAAATTGAACTATATATATATATATATATATATATATATATATATATATATATATATATATATATATATATATATATATATTTATATATATATCAAATTAATCAAACCTGAACATTAATCCTCTTTCTATATCTCTATAATGGCCGGGTCCTCATTTCAGAGGGCACCAGTCTGCTAGAGCGTATAGGCAGTCCCTGTTGCAGACGCTGATTCAGGCACATTAGTATATGAACAAGACTAACGGGGTTCTCTTGCGGTTTATACGATGCTAATTGGACCTTATTTGCGTTTTATATGGGGTGAACCATACTTTTGCAAAGGATTCTCACTCCTTCATGGTAACGTTGATCTTTTATTAATCCGTTTATATCATGATCGACGGAATACTTAACAGTTTTGTTTATTAATTTGAACCACAACTGATAAAAATATTTCAGAATGACGAAAAATAAGATTAGTAGTACTATATAATCATTTAAACTATTTTTTTTTAAAGGGGGTCATTTGTGTCTTGTAAACGCTTTTATGAATAAGTAATTTTAAAAAAAAATCCCAATTGAGATTTTGGTTTGGTTTATTTTGCTTTTACGGCATATGTAATTTGATTTTAATGGGTTATCAACATTGTGATATTGAATTTTTAGGATAGATTCTTTGAATCCAATATATATTCTTTGTTTAAACAAATTTGTTTTAACCTTTTTTTATATATTGATAAATGAGTTTTTTAAATTTAAATTATGTTTTTTAGAATAAGATTTGTTATGAATAAAAATGTATTCTTTGTTTTATATAATGTTTTGAATTATTTTTTTATTACATATCAACCTCAATGGATTTTATTTAATGCCGCCACTATTTTTAAATAGATTCGTTTGAATAAAGTTTAAGAATTCATTGAATTTAGATTGGTTTGCCATTATTTTTTTTAAAGAATATCATTTCAATGGGTTATTTAATTGTCAAAAATTTTTTAATCCTACAAGATTCGTCTTTGAATTTGAATATGTATTCTTTTTTAAATCGAGTTTTTTTTTTTTTCCTTTTACGGCATATGAACCTTAGTTTAATTGGCGACGACAACATTGTTTTAAATAGATTCTTATTAATAAAAAATTTCTGTCTTTGGTTTAGTGAATTGATTGGTTTCATTTTGTTTTAATGCATATCAAACTTTTATTTATTTAATATTCAAAATCTATTTTTTGGTAACAATTTTTTTTTGTCAAAATCTGTTTCTAGTAATTTTTTTTTTATATTCAAAAATTTTATTGTATACATGGTATATATTTTTCAAAAAGTATTAGGTGTAAATGTTAAATTTGAAATGTAGCTGTCGGACCCTTTCAATTGCCAATAAAAGGGTTCTGGGTTTTTTTTTTTACCAATTTAGGTGAAAATATTTTTCCTTGAACCTCCTGATCATTAAATGATGTAATTTTCGTCTTGTTTTTTTTTTTATTTGTAAGAAACGTCTTTATCGGACGAGAATTAATAATTGAAAATTTTTTACGTGATTGAATCGAGGACCTGCGATTTATTAGTCCTTCTATTAAAGAATTCTCGTCACAGATGGAGACAGTTTTATTCAACAAATATGTATTTGACAGATGGATTGAATAATATGAACGACAAAAAATTTGACAAAATAATGAAATATATTATATTCAGGGGTCATAAAAAAAGGTCTTTTCCTTTTTTATAATGTAGAAAGAAGTCTTAGAACATTTAACATTAACAAGATGTTTTGAAAAAATATATAAAAAAAATATTGAAAAATATATAAATAACAAGCATGTTATTAAATGAATGATTGAGAGTTCAAATTTGGAGAAGATAGCAAAAAATTTTCTTTTTACGAATATTATAAATATATATATGGGAGAGCCATATATAAATATTTTAGTGTCCTGGATTTTTAATTTAAAATAAGAAGAAGAAGAAGAACTAGCTTGGTTTATATGGTCTTGAATGATAGAAGCCAGGTTTTTGTCATTAGCACTAGTTTAGATTTTAGATTAAATTAATGTCCTTAAAATTATTAGCAAACATTTACAGTACAGACATAATAATTCCATTCTTATACCAAAGCGTGCGTGGATTTTTTGACCAATAGCAATTACTTGTGTTTTGTTTTATCATTTCAACAAAATCTTTCTTTTTTAACAAATTTTTTAATTCTTACAAATATTATCAAATTTCGCTGCTGGACATTTTTCCTTGAACTTTCTTGAGTTAGTTCAGAAGAGATGATTAGAGGAATTGAAATTGTTCTTGGATTTATAATGACAGTAGACGGCCAGACAAAAATTTGGTTATATGTATTGCGAACAAATATAGAAGAAACAAAACAAAACAGTGAAATGCATATAAACGAAAGTTGTCTAATTCGCCACCTGCGCGATATGTGCAATGTTAGAATGAATATTTTGATGTTTTTGTCGAGTAAATTGTCATCGTGGAATATAATGGGTTAGAGAAACACCTATCGATTAAATTTGGCTTTTAATCTTACATATATTATAAATTGTGTATTCACATCTTTTCTTTTCGTCTTCATCTTTTTTCTAATATTTCATCTCTTTTCTTCCTTTTCTTCTTCGTCTTCTTCCTATTTTTTCTTCTGCTTCTTCGTATTCTTTTTCTGCCCCTTTGTTGTTTGCTTTATGTTCTTCTTTTCTTTGCTGAATTATCCTTTACTTCTTCTTTTTAAAGGGTTCCTTTTCTTCTTCTTGCTGATTCTTCTTTTCTTTGTGCCTTCCAATTCTTCCGAGGTGGTTCATGTTCTTATTCTTCCCATCCTCGTTGTTGTTGGTTTTAAGATTCTTCTTTTTTTGTTTTTTTTCTTCAATCATCATTTCATCATCATCATATTCTTCTTCTTTTCTTCTTCTTTATATTTAAATTTATATTCTTTATTTATTTCTTCTTCTTATTATATTTAAACTTCTTCTTCTTTCTTTCATCTTCTTTCTAATTGTTTTTAATATTCTTAATTTTACACTAATTTCGTTCTTTTTACCTCTTAGTAAACTTCCCTTTCTTTTTTTCTATAACCTTTAATGGGTGGATTCTTTCTTCTTCTCACTCCTCCTCCTCCTTTGAAATCGGACTTCTTCTTTTCCTCCTTCTTTTCATGTTCTTTAAATCCTCCTCCTCCTCCTTTTTTATGAATCTTTCATCTTCTTCTGCTACAATCATCTTCATCTTCAGTAAAATTCTTATTCTGATCATTCTTTTACTTTTTCTGGGAAACTTTCATTCTTCTTTTTTTTTTTTCTTTTTGATAAGATGAAAATTGATCAATTAACAACAAAAGATTTCTTTTTTTTACAGTAATTTTTTACCTTTCTTTTTTTTATATATCTTATATATATATATATCTTATTCTTCCTTTGTTTCTTCTTCTTGATCTTCTTCTTCTGTTTCTTCTTCTTTCCTTTCTTTTTTCTTTTCTGCTTTGTGCTTTTGTTTTTTTCCGATCTTCTTTCTTCCTTTCTTCTTTTCTTCTTCCGTTCATTTCTTTCTTTCATGTTGATTTTATTGAATTTCTTTATGTTTTTTTTACAAAGTTTTCTTCTTTTCTCTCCTTCCTTTTTGCTCTTTAATTTAATTTGTTTTTGTTCTTCTGAAATCTTCTTTTCAGAAGAATTCTTCTTTCTTCTTCTACTTTACTTTGAATCATGTTCTTTTATTCTTCTTATTTCTTTAGAATTTTAAAAACTTTTCTTATACTATTTTTCTTCTTTTTCTTTTTCTTCCTCTTGTACAGATCAATCTTCTGTCTATCTTCTTCTTCAGGCTAATGGTTCTTTGTCTTTTTATTCCGCCCCTATATATTATCTCTTCTTTTTGTTTCTTTAAATTCTTAATCTTTATACATGATCTGAAGACGAAAAATTTTAAACTTTATTTTTCATGTTTCTTTTTATAATGGTTCCGATTAGACATTAAATGACCCATAAAATGTTGTTATTTTTTTAAATTTTAAATCCACATGGTCTTTTAAAATATCCAATCATTTTTCAATATTCAATTAAAAATTTTGAAACTTTAAATCTTCCTTCTTGCAAATTCACAACCAATTTTAACACGTGAAATTTTTTGATGCATTCATCTTGGTTTTCGTTTTCAATTTAATGAGATTCATTTTCTTTTTTGCTTTATCACGTTAATTTCAATTTAATAACATTTTTTTTAAAATTTTCACGTCAAATTTCTTTTTGAAAAAATCTAAAATTTTCTCATTTTTGTCTCCTCTTTGTTCCGTGAAAATCTTTTTTAAAAATTTTCAACGATAAATCTTTTTTGTTTCCATTTGAGAAGAGCTTTTTTTAAATTTTTTTTTAAAGGAAATATTCTTAGAATATAAATATTCTTAAAGGAGTACTTTGAATAAATAAGATATTACTGACTTTTCTATAAATAAGAAAAAGTATATTAATATTTTATAAAGAAGATTTTTTTCGATACAAAAAACTTATTTTACTTCAACGTATTTTGTGTGTATTACAATATATATATATATATATATATATATATATATATATATATATATATATATATAATATTGGTGGTGAATATACACATACATATGCAAAAATATATAAATATATATCTACATACATACATACATATACATATATATTTGTATTTAAAAAAATTCTTCCAAGATTTAGAATCTTTTTAATTTCAAATTGTTGGTCTGATGAATCGATCGTCTTTACGATTCCAATAGAATAAATTATGACCATATAATATTAGTAATTAAATATTTTTTTATTATATATATATATATATATATATATATATATATATATATATATATTTACTAACATTTTTTATATTTATAAATTCTTTTTATAGATACAAATATTTAAGTAAATGCACTATTTATAATAAACAGTATTAACAACATTTACCGATTTGAATGTCTGACAAATTTTAATAGAAAATATGCGTCCTCCGACAGGAATCGAACCTGTATCCTATACGGAATCGTCATATTGCCTGACGTGTTTTACCGATTGAGCGTTTCGGTCATAAATATAGGTCGATTTGACTGTTTTTTAAACTACATTTCTCCATGATTCTCTCTTGTACATTAATATCTACCCGATGCGTATCCAAATGTAAACTAATGACATCGCACATTATGAGAAGTCCGACAATTATTTTAAGACAATTTTTATGTTTATTATAAATAGAGCATTTACTTAAATATTTGTATCTATACAAAGAACGTATAAACATAAAGAAACGTCTTAAAATAATTGCTGGACTTTGTCCATTTCATATATATATATATATATATATATATAAGTTTTTAAGTTATGAAGAACTTGGAATCCGTATGGGTAATCACAAGGAGAAATGAAATCCTGCGAGCTCAATGTATATCCAGAGCTAATATTTAAAGGAAATAGAGACCAATTTAAGGTATCATTATAATAATTTATTTCACCAGATTCCTATTAAAAGGACGCCGGATCATCAGATAGCACTGCCAAAAATGAAATGAAATGAAAAATGAAATTAAAATTGATGGGTAGTGTAAGATTTTGTAATTTAACAGAGAGTGTAAAAGGAGTAGTTAAAGAGATATGGTAGAGTATAGGGAGGATTAATTTCATATCTCTCTCTCAAGCATACTTTTCATTGGGGAGGAGGAGTGACCAGACCTTGATCTATTTAGACGGTGAACTTAACGGAAAGTGATATATTGAAATGGGAAAGGAGAAGGAAAAAAGAAAAAGAAAAAGGAAAAGAAAGAAGAAGGAGGAGGAGAGGGAAAGAAGAGAAAGAAACAATTGGGTTTAGCAATTTATGTAAATATAACAGATATATATATATATATTTCAGGATATATATATATATATATATATATATATATATATATATATATATATATATATATATATATATAGTTAATTGACTGGAGTTTTCAGACATTTGGTTTCACGCTATATACCATCGCCAGACAAACTATAATCCCTCTCTCTCTCTCTTTTGTCTCTATATATATATATATATATATATATATATATATATATATATATATTCTGTGTGTGTGTGTGTGTGTGTGTGCATTTGTGTGTGCTTATGTAAAAAAAAACTTTTCTTTCTTCAGTATTTTTTTTTATTTATTTTTTCAAAAAAAAATACTTAATAGATTTTCTTAGAGGATTTTTATAATTTTTTCAAAAATATGATTCCTTCGCTACAAAAGAGTTCTCATGTTTCAAAAACGAGAGCCGAAACCCTCAATATAATTATTAAATTTAAATTAAATTAAAATAACAAATCCTGTTTCATCCCCAAGCGAAGATTTAGGAATAACCAATCTTGAAATTTACGCATCTTCATAAGTATCATCATTCATTACCATTTTCCTTCCGTTACTCGTTTATTTAATGTTCTTTATTCATTTTCCCCCAATCGGTATAACACAGGCAAAGACTACGACTCAATCACTTCATTTAAAAAAGCATCCCACAGTATAACACAAAAAACAAAAAAAATCACAGAAGAGTCACGCTACTAAGATTGGCATAGGGAAAGTCAGTTGTCATTTATTTAGTGGTTCTCTGACATAAGCCAGCATCTCTGGGAAAAAAAAAATTATTTAAAAAAATTCGAAATGGAAATTCAATTTAGCGTTTAGAGATTAGGCTATTAACACAGGGAAGACAACGGAGTCACTGACCTGCATTCCATTCCATGTGACCATTTTTTTTTTGCCCAACATGAGACTCATTTTTTCTTCTGCAAATACTTTCTCTTCAAAAGCAACTTAATATATATTTTAATATATGGCTAGTAGAATAATAAAATTGGTAAAAAACCTAAACTAATATTACATGTGTATTATATTTTGAAAGTTCCCTCAGTCTGTAATGTGTCTGTATATATATATATATATATATATATATATATATATATATATATATATATATATATTCATATATATAAAAAGTTTAGGATTGGTGTATACGGAATAATTTCCAATAAATAAAATATATATATATATATATATATATGTGTGTGTGTGTGTGTGTGTGTTGTGTAAATAAATATATGGATATAGATCCGACAGTATGAAGAAAAATAGGATTACCATGTTGTATTGATAATGTTATAATTTATGAATATGTCCTGAAGATGGTTTATTAGACCGAAACGTTCGACATTGATATATTAACATTAAAACAGCATAATTGTATATAAGGATTTTTGTTTGTTTTTTTCCGTATATATTTTTCTTCATATATATATATATATATATATATATATATATATATATATATATATATATATAGATAGATAGATAGATAGATATTGAACAATAAAATTATTAAAAAATTAAAATATGGTGGGGAGCAGGGGATTATATTAACAATTGTGGTAGCAAATAGTTATTAAAAAGTGATTAGTAATGGTGGTGGAATGATAATAACAATAATTGTAATTATTATGATGGTAGTTTGAAGTAGAAAATAATTGATGGCATTATGGTGTCAGTGGTTTTTCTTTTCATGTTTATAGGGTCGGTGGTGGTTTATGTGGTGGTGTTTGTTGGTTGATTTTCTTTGATCCGTTTGGTATACATTCTGATAATAGGTATGTATTTTCACGCCTACATTTGGAAATTATTTCTGATCTTATGTTTAGTAAATTCTTTTGTAGGGTATAAGAAATTATTGCTACCTTTTGGTGTAGGCAATGTAGGCATTTGTTTGTAATGTTGTTGCAGGCAGACGCATTTTTCAATAATTTCCAGCTTAGCTTGGTGTAATATATCAATCTTTTTAAATTTTTACCTATCATAGTCTTACACAGACCCCGCCATACGTATATACGTGCGGTCGAGAAAAATTAGTCAGCGAACAAAAACAGATAACATAAAAAAAATATTCGCTACACAATCCAACATTGAATACAGCAA